TTTTACTACGTTTCTATATAAAGAGAATAGAAGCTACTACTTTTAATATAAAAGGCTTAATAAATCCTTTTACTTATAAGTTATTAAGTAATTTCCTTAAAACTAATAGTTTATCTTTAGATATATTATATAGTAGTCCCTATAGTAATAACATCGGAGTATTATTCGCTTATTTATAGATTTTGATTTTAGTATTAATACCTAGCTTATAAGGCGTTAGTTCTTCTACTACTTATTTAGAAAATAATAGTATTATAACTACTTATTTAGAAAATAATAGTATTATATCCTTAATCTTAGGAGGTAGTATTTATTCTAACTACTTTATAAATAACTTATCTTTATATCTTAAAGCTTTCCTAATATCCTTTACGCGACTAGTAGCTATTATTATACAAGTATTATTATCTTTATAGTTATAATAGTTATAACCTTCTTTTACCTATTATATTACCTTACTATAGTAGAACTATTATTTTTCTAATGTTACTTATATCTTATTATATAATTTCTATAGGTTTCTAAGGATTATTAGAAAGTCTAAGTTCAGTATTATATATATATATATACTACTTAATTATATCGAGCTATATTTATTTATAATATAATAACTTCTTCGACTTTTAAATTATATATAACTAAAAAGGCCTCTTTTACTTTTTATCTTTTATTATTAACAAATATAAGATTAAGCCTTTTTATAAGGTTTCTATTTATTATAGTATAGTATTAGTATCTCTTATTAATAAAAGTAAAGGTTCTAAAAGTTTCTTAAAAGATTATATCTATAAGTTATATATATAAGGTTTCTATTTATTACCTTTTTAGCCTCTTCCTATCTTTATAATAATACCCCTTTTACTCTCGGTTCCTAACTATAAATAAGAGCTAGTCTTTTCTTAACTTAGAAGAATTAGGCTTAGCTATTTTGTTATTGTCTTTTAGTACTAGACTTACTCTAACTTAATTAATCTTAACTAGTTATAAAGGTAGGTTATATAGATAACCTTAGATCTAGTATCTTAAAGCTTTATATCGGAAATAGATTTTTTTCTTTTAGTATCTTTCTTTTTATAATATCTACTTATTTAGTTCTTTATTTTCTACTTATAACTTTATAGTCTCTATTACTTTTCCCTTAGTCGCTACCTATTTATATTAGCGCTATTATAGTATTACTATTAGCTTCTAGTCTAAGTATTATAAAGTAACCCTATAAGCGTATTACTACTATTATCTTTATTCTAGACTTTATATTCTTTTCTTTTTATTTCTTATTTAATAACTTAAACTAGTTAGTCTCTTTAAGGTTAGTTATAATATACTCTACCTCCTTAGAAAACTAATAGTAGTCTATTATTTTAGCTATAGTAGCTATATATACTTAAATAAGGGTTAAAAAAGTATTCTTAAGATAGCTAGCTAATCTTTATATCATTTTCCTAGCTTTCTCTACCCACACTTAGTAAGAGTTTATTAAATTTAAGCTAGTATTTATACTAAGGTTAACCTAAGGAATATTTTAGGTTAGTAAGCTTTTCTAAGGCTTTAGCTTATTTATTACTATCTACGAAGGTCTTATTAAGTTATTGAAAGAAGGCTATAAGATCTTTACCTTATATAGTATCTCTCTTCTCCTAGAAGTATCTTATTTAAGCTCGCTCGCCTAGTAGGAGGGTATTGTATATAGCGTCCTAATAGTAGTCGCGGAAGAGCGCTAGTTTTATAGTAGATTATACTATATATAAGCTCTTAAGCCTTAGGAGGTAATCTCTAAAGGTATTTATATACCTATCTTAGGTTATTAGTTTTTAATCTTTAGAACCTAATAGTTAGTTATTAAGGTTCGCTTAATTCTTTATTAAGAGTATAGTAATTAGAGCTCTTATAAGGTCGTTTATAAATATAGAGCTCTCTAATATACTTACTTAGGTCTTCGGCTTCTTTCCTTCGAAGCGTACCTTTATTACTTCGGCTTCTATTATTATTTAGCGCTAGAAAACGTTTTAGAGGACTTAGTAAAGATCTACGTTCGATATCCCTTTATAGCTCTTGTTCGCTAATAGGCTTAGCCCGGCGGCCGCTTTAAACTTGTTAGGTTTAGGGAGATCTTTAATTTAAGTAACTATAATTAATTAAACTTAATATTATAGGAGACTAGTATATATATAGAAGGTTTAAAATAGTATTTAACAAGTTTAATAAAGGGGAGAGAAGGAATCTTGTCGGGCTTCGCTATAAAGGAGAAGTAGCCCTCTTAGCAAGGCTATAGTAAGCACTAGCACAGCCAGTGCCATACCCAGGGGCTGACCCCCTACAGGTGGCGTCCTAGCCATCCTTATGTAGTTAGATATTAGTATTACCCACCTACGAGTTTGGGTCAGGAATTTTGACTCTTCGTTTTGCTTCATTGTACAGTACCAAGGGATCCGCTAAGCAGTGGTAGGGGCGTTTCTTTGTTGTACAGTATCTGAACATGTGGGGCCTTGTCTAAGAAATCGAGAGGGAGCAGGTGCCAAGTCGGAAGTGACAGCGGGTTTGGCTCTTGTCTTTACTGCAAGCTTTCCTTGGCTTTGCATTTGTAATTGCGCAACAGAGAAGTCTTCTTTTCAAGAGGTTAAGACATTTAATAGTCAGTGCGTCTTCCCATCTGCGCAAGCGATACTACAAGTATTAGGGGCTATCTGCCGCTTTATGTTACAAACTCAAACCTTCGTGATTTAGTCTAAACGTGTTGAAAATGATTTTTGATTTCGAGAATGCCGGCTTATGGAAAAACAACGCACTGGAACTAGAGGGCGATTAGTAGTATTACTTAGAACTTGAGGTTTCCTTTTAACATGGTGGATAGTTACGAAGAAATACTGGGTGTCGTGGAACTCATATAGAGGTAAAGTCGTCCAATAGGCAGTGCGTCTTTCTAAGGCGTTATGTAGACACACGCACTGACTATTATACCTGGTATTGGCTACAATCGAGTCACTGATTCGCTGACTTGGCGGGGGACCGTAATATAGGATTCCAATCCGGATTGTTAACCTTTTTTAGTGCCCTAACCGTGTATTCTCATGAAGTTTAAAAGCACTTTAGCACTCTCAAAAATACTTTGTCATAAGAGTACGCTTGTGGATTGACTGTGAAACTGATGTTATCTGCAGATTATGGAAACTCGATCTGCCCCACCCTTTCGGACAATACAAAGAGGAGCAGACCGGTGTTCTTGAGCAAGTAGATTGTCACGATCACCTGAAATTCGTGGCCAAAGCACTCTTGGACTAGGCTTATTGTTGTGTTAAAGAACCGTATACGCCAAGTGTAGGATCACCTCACGAATCACCAGATTTCCGTTTCCGCTGCTGTTTGAATTCTTTTCTCCAGTCATCGTTTAGGATTGCGCCGTAAATCTCCGTGGATCTCCGTGATCCTAAACTCCATGACATTTCCTTCCTCGTCAGGTATTTTCCACAACTTATTCGATTTAGTGATATCTTTAGTGTTTTGTTTTTTCCGGCGGTTAGCAAGCTGTCATACATGAAGAGCTCATTTCAATATATTGTCTTCACTAATGATGCCTGACGTACAGTGTAGATGAAAGGCAAAGTGGCTTTTGTTGTGCTGGGTCTACTTTCTCTTTTGCTCCACTTCCTTATTTGATCCACTTATAGTTCTGCTGCCTAAATGCTTCATGTCTGCCTAAACCTTACACTCTTTATATAAACACCTTAGATAGCTACCTTTTACAAGGCAATCAATTCTCCATGACCTTCAGTACCCAATACCCTTTCAACCCAATAGCTTTCTATTACTTCGCATAGACATGTCGTCAGGACGAGGTCAAGGTCAACAAGCAACCTTATAGTGATCAGACCCTCAAATTATTGCCGGGATATCCTTCTCGGAATTTCGTGCTTGTTCGGAGACTTTGGCTTATCGACGTTTGTACGATGTACTTCACTAGGTACTACCCCGTACTTTATCCCAGGCATAAGAAAGGTTGACTTTACGACGGTTTGTACCCTGAGCCCCACTAACTACCCCCGTTACCCCTATACTCAACTTTTGTTACTCCTACTTCGAAGTATGTTTGGGACGAAGTGGCAGAAACCTTGACTGCATTAGCCCATCTACCCATACCTGAGTTCGAGCGTGGGAGAGCCGAAGCGAGTTACACACGAAGGCTTCCATTGAACCTGGTAGAGGAAATGAATACATCACTACTACCATAATCAGCGGGCTAAATAATTTGTTTGCATTGTAAATCATACATTCTCATAAAAACAATTTCATGGGCTCATTTAAATTGTTCTAACTGCTATCAATTGGCAACTACGGACGCGCACTATGCAACCCTGCAATTACGGACATTCAAGGTGGGATTTTTCCGGTAAGTTAGTCTTTAAAGTAATGGTACTTCGTAGTATATTTCTTAATTAATATATATTACATTATCTTTGGATGAACTGTTTCAAGACATAGACGCCGTCGTGTTTTACCTTATAGTACATGATATTGTATATATATGGCACACTCTCTTGTTACTCCCATGCGCGGTCGAATTTTCCGTACAGAAAGAATGTTGAGCGTTTCATTCTCCGTCTGCTTCCCCTATCCAGATCGATGGGCGTAAAAAGTCAATTTAGACGTTGAGACAAGCACTGGTTTCGGCCAAGTCGGTTAACAATTTAACCTCATTCCTCTTTAGGTGTCTCATGTCATTGAATCTCGCTTAGTGAACCTTATATTATGGAACGACCCATTAAAACCCATCAATCAACTCAACTTTCTCTGCGAAGCCGTTTGGTTTCAAAACTTCCGTGAAAATGATTGGCTTGTTGTTCGCAAAATCTACGGCAAAACCACGTGAATTTGGAATGCCTTTTCACCCCATCTGAAGAAGGTTTTGTCTGATATCTTCCATGCAGGCATTGCAAGCCTGACTCTTAGGCTTCCGCTTCGGGATGGCACCTAGGGTTCGTAATCTTCTTATGTACCGCATTAAGTGGGTCCAGGATTTTCCATGACCTGTCCGTAGTTGATCATGCAAGGTATATAACGAGACGACTCCATCCTATTCTACAATCAAGCCCCCCAAAAAACATTTCCATTCTTTCCAGTGTTATTGACTGACATTTTTAAAACCCCACTTTCTTTACCCCCCCCCCAAAAAAACAGCTTATTAATTCAAAATGTCGATCGTCTCTACGCTCTCTATTCTAGCTCTGGCAGCATCAACCCTCGCTCAAAAATGTCCTATCATTCTTGAAGGGCGAGTACCTGCAGCATCAACACCAGCAACTTTTGATACCCCGGAGAGCTTGTTTGACCCCAAGAACGTCAAGGGAGAAGGTAGGGTTTTCACAGAATGATTAGGATTAACATTATCTAACAAAATATCAGGCCTGAAATTCGCCGATCTCCTTACTCTGCCAAAGCTCGCCAAACCATCTCTTTTCGACAAAGACACCCAGGCCATCTCACTCTCCATCTCCGACAAATCCATTTTCGCCCCATCCCCAACTAACAAGCAAACGGGTTTCCGTCGTGTTGAGCTTATTATGGCTAAGAACAACGGAACCGATTCCAGTACCGTCGGCCAAAGAGTTATCCACTTCAGTATCCAGAAGGATGATACCAAGGCTTTCAACACCAGTCACGAGTACCAATTGATGTTCCTCGAAGACGCAAAGTTCAGCACCAACCAAGTCGCTGTCAAGACTGGTACTGTCGCCGGCCTCGAGAAGCTGAAGAACCCAGGACGATCAGGAAGCGGGGCAGCTGGAGCACCCAAGGGTAATGGCACTGAGAAGGCCGACCCAAAGAAGAAGGGGGAGGACCCAAAGAAGAAGGACGCAGAGGATCCAGCATGCTCCGGTATGCCTCTCCCAGCGGGTACCAGAAAAGCCAAACGGGCTGTTGCAGAGAGACAAGCCAAAGCTGCTGTCGGAAACACCATCATCGTTCAAGGAAACGTCAACACGGATATCGGTGTCTTGTTCGAGACCGAGTTCACCGGTGGTGGAGTTTGGCACAACTTTGGTATCGTCATGGACTACGAGAAGAAGTAAGTTTTTCCCCTTTCTATAAGGATTTTAGCGAGCAAGTGACTAACATGTCTACCCAGCACCACCGCTATCCTCTACTCCACCGATGCCAACCCCCTCAAGGAAGTCGTCAAGCCAACGAAGAACGAAATCGCCGGTCAAGGTCAGCACCACTTCGGTATGTTGAAGAAGCCTACCGGAGAGGGATTGAAAGATGTCACCAAGGAAGGATTCCAACAATCTCCAGTCAACGAGGCAATCATCTACGGAGGTATCTTCATTGAGGATGGAGCTAAAGACTGCATCTCAAATGCTCCATAGATGGCTTGCAGTTGGATTCCTGATGTTTGATATGATAATGTAGCTTTCGACTTCTTGTTTTCTTTTAGGGCGGGGGCTTACTATGATGTAAGGGTTGGAATGAGCATTCGCTGGTCGTTTTGTATATTTTAATCCTTTATAAACTTTCGTCGCTTGACATTGCGTCTTTTGTGATGTGAGTGTATAGCCTGTTTCTTACGACGCTGAAAATCCCTTCGTTACATTTATTTGTCCCTCCTCTTGGGACTGTAACATTAGAGCGTTAGAAAATCGGTTTCTATTGATGAAAAAGCATTGTATCATCGGGCGTAAACAAAAACTCATTCCTATCTTCGCAGCCCATTTGAGTCGCTATATTCCTGACCTTTCATTCACTTTTCTCACCGGTTTCCCTGGACTCGTTATCCAGAATCTTATGTCACTTGCCCTGACCGGAAAATATTCATGAAAAGTGTCAAATCTCGCTACAACAACTCCCATATCACCCACTTGTTTATAACGTGGGGGTTGTACGGAAGTTTGGTCTCTTAAGGATTCACCGAGCGATAGCTGCGGGACTTTCTATTGCTAACGGAGAAAATCTTTACAATGATCGGGTTGGGTAGGGACTTCTTGAGAGTGTGAACGAGTGTAATCTTAACTATCCTTATGCTCTCGACGATTCAGTTATATATCTAACATTTTAAGATTGGTCTATCCTAAAAGTAGTCCTAGTACTTTCGCTTGCTTCAACGTTATCAATAAATTCGGCTCAAGTCGGCCTGGGCCCAATCTCAGTATATGACGATATGCGAGGTACGAGCAGACTATCTTCTCGACGACTCTAGGAAACCAGATTGGCCTGGGCCTCGTAGCGTACCTAGGCACCGTTCCGACTGATCTGGCTACTTGGATTTTGCTAAATCGCTAAAGATCAACCTTAACTTTGTTTGATATAGGTAGGCTTGTATGAATGCTTGTTCTCGGGATCTTTGGCCGAACAGGATGTCGTAAACTTAAAAGAACAGATGCACGTATGCGACGACGAGGGCATGGTGAGGCTAGTTGAGTTGCAAAACAGGATGTGACCGTGGATATTCCTATGTGAGTATCCTTGTAACCAGTTTCTCCTGTAGCAGCATCCTTTGCAAATTTAAGCGAGAAATGCAGGGTGTTTCATTTCGAAATCGGGAAGCAGGTTACGTCACTTCAGTATTTAGGTGGGGCTACTTCATTAGCCTATAGAATATAGGAGTCTATCAGACGATAGGAAAATACTCTACGGTGTCTATTTCATTATATATCATTGCAATCGGCCATGGATGCTATCTTTCTGACTTTATCTACAAATTTGAAAAGAAAAACAATATCCATGATATGAAGCGGTTGAGGACGATTTAAAAACTTATCCAAGAGCCTTTGCTAGACTCAACTCTGCATTCCAGTATTCCCTGGCATCTGATAAATGATAGCATGGATTATTCAAGCACGCTAGATGTGGGCAAGTAGAAGGGTGTTGACTGACAGTGGTTGACGATTTGCAATAATGGTATAGCTCCACACCAAAAAGGGGGGGTTAATCGCTTCCACATTACACTTCAACTTTAGAGTCCTGCCATGCCAAATACTTCTCGTGTAGTGATTTCTGGACTCTCCACAATTTCTTTCGCTTACTAATAGCGCTCTTCGACAATGGCGTCCCATCAGCTAGGTGCGTCGGAATACCCTCGTCATCCCATGCTGAAAAATAAAGGTCACTTTGAAACATTTCCTGAGGAGGTGTCGCTCCAACTGATAGCTTTGCGATGCGGGCCTCTTCTGTAGCTCGCTTCCATTCCGCCTTTTCAAGTTGTAATACTTGCTGATGCTGTAAAGCTTGCTCGTCGATTGATCCATCGCTTGTGACTCTAAAAGCATGTCTTTGCTGGTACAACCATCGAACAATACTCGCAATGTTCCGAGCATCGTCGATTCCACTGTGGTGAGTCCCAATAAGTTCCTGCCCGATCACATTCAACATGCGCACCATGGAATCGGCTTTCTTCCCCGTGAACGCTTTGAAAGCGTGTTTGATATTACACCACCTTTCGAATAAGGGTAAACCACTGATGCCGTAAAATGTTTGTTCAGTGGGGAGCATGGTTCTGAAGTCCCAATCTCCACAAGTTATTGCGAGAGTGTTTGATTCCGTGGCTTTGTGACGCTCAAGGAACAACAGCAGCATTTCCCATGCTTCTGGAAAGATTGGACTTTCATCGAGAACTCGCTGTGGAATCTCCTGTCGATTTTTCCCGGGTAGATTGCGCCGAGGTTGAATAAAAGTGTGGAACTCATCAATGACTTCCAAAGAAGTATTTGTTGTGGATATTAAGACGAGTGGAAATTCGATCATTTCTTGCGAGCAGCCAGACTGAGTCTTACTGATAGACGCCTCGAAGTCAACGATACATAAGTACTCATAGCGTTGCTCGTGAGCATTGCCCATCTTCGAACTCGACTCTGGGTTTGAATCTGTGTTCTCTTTGACTTTTGATAGACTGGCGATGTGCCTATTAATGAGAAATTATGGCATAGATGGTATTTGAGATGAGTCACGAAGCTGACGTAAATGACGTCCACTCACGTGTGTGCTTGTGGCAACACGAATGGAAACTTTTCCCACCTAGGTCATTACATTGCTCAGGATTGAGATCAAAACCCGATTGTCATTTTCTTTCATGACTTTATACTATTCGATTTACCTTGTAACGCTGATGCTGCCTACACTTCCCAGAGGGCCCTGCCCAAGGTGTCCTCTTCAAGTGATCAGAATCCTTTTCGGGCCTCTTTCCGCGTATAAGCAATCAAGGAACGTCTTATCTAGTAGGGAAGAAACCTATACGAAAGTTAATAATCCAGATGTTTCAATGTTTCTCGTGACTCAATTACCGAAGCGAGACCTGCTATGTTCCCCTTTTCTACGTAATCTCGGCAAATTCTCGCAAACTTGAATACATTATGACAAAACTAATAAGAACAGCTTACTTACAGCCCTCATAGGCAACGATCAGATGTAATAAAGGGGCTGAGTCAGATGATATTATAACTCTGATCATGGTCGCAAGCTTTAGAAACTCAGCATCTACGGCATCGTGAGTAAGCTAACAGACTACGGAAAATAGATAGCTCAGGACTCGATGATTACATATTCTTTTCTTCTTCTTCTGTATGTGCGTTTATCAACCAGTGCTTTGAAGTTCCAAGAGGGAAACTCCTGCTTCCACATCTGTACCGGGTTTTGATCATATGCACGAGGGCCGCCTCGGCGTAATAGATTTGACAACCAGTTCGGGACAACGGCATGGCTTTATTTGGAGATGCGGGGGAGCGGCAAGAGAGAATGGAGTAAAAAGAAACCCAGAATGCTAATATGGTTGGCTGTGTGGCTTCAACAATGCACCAAGAGGGTGTGAGAGACAAGCTTTCTTGTTTACTGCACTACCGCCGATATTATCAATACATCATGGTAACCGACATAAGTCCACGATTTGATATTCTGTACAACTACCGAGCTTAAAACGGGTATGGAGCAATATCGGACGGCTAATACCAGCCTATGATATATTGATAACCCATTTACCCGTGACCTAATAAGCATCATTTGCCTGCTATGAATTTTGCCGTATGAGATTTTTATATTGAGTTGCCCCATGAAATACAGGATGGGGTTAGTGTCATCTCATGGCTTTCACATAAGAAGGTGAGTTGCGTCGTGCTGGACTACGTCTGCCTTTTTCTCAAGTTTGGATATTTTGATTTTGATGCAAAGTTTCAGTCCAGATAGTCACGATGTTTTGGTCCGGTATTATCGCATTTACGGTTCTTTCTGGCCTAACCAAAGGCCAGGGGCAGAATACTATGCTACGATTTGGCTGTTCACAAATTGTTATTGATCGAATCGACCCTCTTGTCAACCCCGACATGCTTCCCAGCCCACACATGCACCAAGTGGTTGGTGGAAATGCCTTTAATGTCTCAATACCTTCAACTGATGTCAGTACTATCGCGGATTGTACTAGCTGCAGTTACGCTGATGATCTCTCAAACTACTGGACGGCAAACCTATACTTCAAAGCCAGGAATGGTACCTACAAACGAGTTCCCCAGGTACCTAACCGATTGCTGTTTAATGACAAGTTCACAACGCAGACGAGTGGTGGATTTGTAGTATACTATGTTTCGGATGGGAAAAAGAAGGTCACAGCGTTCAAACCCGTAAGTCTGAATCTATGAATCGATAACTAGCATTGATGCAAGTACATAGGGGTTCCGCATGCTTGTTGGAGATGCAAACCAGCGCTCGAAGATAAGCAGTGGAAGGAAGACACAGAGTTGCTTCCGTTGTTATAATGGGCCAAACTTTGGAGGTGATAATGCAGCTCCATGCCAAGATGCAAAATTGGACACTGAAGAGCTTCCTAAAGGCCAATGTCTGGGAGGCATTCGTTCTAACATTTTGTACCCAACCTGCTGGGACGGTGTGAATCTTGACAGTCCAGATCACAAGTCGCATGTCGCTTATCCATCAGGTGGGCCACAACAGTTCACTGGATCCAGCACGGGTGGGGCATGCCCCTCAACTCATCCTGTCAAAATCCCGCAAATCATGCTGGAAATTGTGTGGGATACAACGAAGTTCAACAATAAAGCAGAGTGGCCGGCAGATGGATCGCAACCTTTTGTTCTGAGCACAGGGGACAATACAGGTTATGGCCAGCATGGAGATTACGTGTTTGGCTGGAAGGGTGACTCTCTCCAGAAAGCAATGGTAGGTCTAAAATCATCACGGTACCAATGTGGAAATACTGACATGGGGAATAGGATAGCGGAGCAGGTTGTATGGGTGCCGCTTGTGGTGGCCTCAAAACTCAAACGATCGACCCTGCCAATAAATGTAAAGTGACGAGCAAGTATCCAGAGAACTACGATGGGTGTAAGTGAAGAAGGAAAAGTTATTACATATAGATTCTGACATTATACAGGGCTGGAAAAGCTCCCAGGAATGGCCTGATACAACAGCGACACAACGTGTATCGAGCATGCACTATGGGGGTTCATTAGAATAATTGGGGTATCTTGGGAGGATTTATTGTGAAGGGAGACTGTTGTCGATAATGTTGCACTCGCTAAATAAATCAAACTGTAGAAAGAATCCAGGAGCAGCCCTCAGGATCGTCTTTTTTAAATTTTTTTTAGAGGGTAGGTAATTCTCTGTTGAAGACGAGAAAAAAGTGTCATGTAACATCTTCCGGAACACTTTAACAAAAGAGGTCAAAGATGTTCAGACCAAAAGGATGAAATGATCCTCCGTGACCAGCATCAAGAATTGATGGGAACAAGCATCCACGTGGACGCTGCGACGACTACAAGATTGCGAGTCCCTTTGCTCCCTTGTGGCAGGTAAATTAATTTCCCACTCATGTGACTGAAAACTGGTTCTTGTTTTCTTATAACGCCCCTGTAAAGTTAAAGTTATCATCAGCTAGAAATGACTATGGAGCGACATGCAGCCTCAGTCCGTACCTTGAAGATGAAAAAAACCCCCAGGGCCCACCCAAGTGGAAGTAACATGCTATCCACATAATCTTCACCTTCTCTTCCTTACATAAAATGAACTTTGCTTTCCTTAGTCCAACCCCTAAACTTCTTTCCCACGAACCAAAATACGATGCTCGTAGCGCAGAAGAAAACCGTCAAAGCCATATTCGTCAAAATTGGAGGAATAAACCCGTTTTTTACAACCCATGGGGTCAGAAATTTACTAACCCCATATCCCCAAACATTCTTATTTACAGTTATCATGACCAAAATGGCTCCAGTCACGGGCTTGTATGAATCGATGGCGTAAGTGGACGAAATTGTAGGGAGGGCTGCGACTTGAATGCCAATACATGTATAGCCGATGATGACAATTATCTAGAATGTGTCAAATTATGTATGCCACTGAGCACAATGTAAAGAGAGGAAAACTTACCTTCCAATTCCATGCCTTTTGATAGCCTATCGCTACTATGATATCTCCTATAATCATAAGTAGTACGTAGGGAACCATGGTTAAGAGTCTCATTTCCGGTTCTCTAACTCCATTTCGTCTTTTTGTCAATCTTGCTGCAATAGCATCGCTTAACGGCCCAGCCGTAAACAGCCCAATCAATGTCCCGATGAGCGTCGCCAAGTTGAAAAGACCGATTTTTTCAGATCCGAAATTGTACGGTGGAGCCGCAAAGGCCTGTGATTGCGACAGATTGACTACAAGAAAGTTCAAAGCAGACCAGGAGACAACAAACGCCGAGAATTGGATGATTGGAAAACTCCAACCCTCCACGGAAGCCAGATTTCCATCAGAATATTTCCGTGATACGGTTGAATCAATTTCCATTGTTGTTTTGATGGTTTTCCACGACCCAGCCATGGGTCTTGCGTGCTTTTGGTCGTGGTAGGCTCGCTTACGTCCACTTTGATTGGTGTTGACGAAGTATTTGCATCTTTAATTTCTCGAACTTCATCCTTCGAAGAAGGCAGGGTGGGTTGTAAAACATGACTACCAGGAGCGTCGCGGTTGTATCTTGTTTCTGGAAAGAAGAAAATGCAACAAATAATGGTGAGTCCAGTGAGAGCTGTATTAAGCCACCAGAAACTTTCCGGTTCATACTTCTGTGCCATTGGTCCTGCTATCATTGGCCCTAACTAAGGATATCAGTATGAGAACATGAGACGGCGCTGAAGGCGTACCGTGAGGGATGCAAAGTATGATGAAAAGTAGAGTGTTTGGTACTTTCCTCTATCATGAAGAAAGATTACATCTGCAATTATGGTTGGCTGAGCAGTTTCACCAGGTCCAGCACCCAGGCCATTAAGGCTATCTCTCATTAGTATTTTTGTACCCCAATAGATTAAATTGAAACCTACACGGATGCTCCCATGAAGCTACCATAGGACGTTGCCTTCGCTCTCCAAATGCTACTTCCAAAGCATATAATTGATGAAATTATCAAAACAGGTCGTCTGCCGAAGCATGTTTGAACGGGTACCCATATAAAATTAGAGAACCCCAGAACGATTACTGCAATGCCGGTGAAAGCGACCACCCCTTCAAGGTCTGAGTCGAATATCTCCATATACGGCTCAAACAATGGTGCCTGCGAACAGATTAGCAATTATCCAGTATTGAGACCTCATTACCCAGCAAAACTAACTATCGCCAAAGGGCCAAGACCTTGCGAGAAACTAATCATCGTGGCACAGAACATGCAGAAAGCTTTCCATTTCAAACTCCAATTCTGAATGATTATTATTTTACGGTCTCAAAGTCGAGGAAGTCTTACCAATGGGTCATTAGGATCATTGCTCGGTTGTGGCACCAAGACTGAATCGTCTCTAGCTAAACCTTTGACGAAGCGATGTGTACCAACATCCTTCATAATCTCCGTTCCAGGATAAATCTTTGTCTGCAAAACTTCTTCCAATTCTCTTAAGGCCTTCTTATCCAAATTTTGGTCCATGATTTTGAAATATGTATGGTCTATGGTTCTTTAATCTTGGGATGAAGTTGATTTCAAGTATATTACTGAGAAAGCTAGTGCCTTTGAGATATGCCGTCACTCCTAGATGAACTGTTAAAGGTACTCGTCACTATACGTTAACACCACCAGTTCAGGTACCAAAGAAGTTGGAGAAGCATGTCAAGTGCGGGGAAAATACTATGAGGACAAGGACTCCTTCCCGTTCAGTACCCATGGTACAGTAGCAGTCATTAGTAATTGTGAAATTCGCGTGTCGAAATACGGGTGGCACAAAATTCCAGGATGATTTGCACGACATTACTGTAAACAGATGGGTTCACAACGCTGCATACACATGCGGAAGCTGGAAAATAACTGTGTGGCACTGCACCACCGTTTGTACCCCGCCACTGACACACAAAGAGTGCAACATTCAGCCTAAATATGGGATTACTTCTGTAAAAGGCTTCCGGATGATCTATTTTGGATGATTCGATTGGACTCTATATTGTTTAGAGCCGAAAAGTAATACAGGACTCTATGCCTGTGTGTTAGTGCACCGGGTTCTTTGAAGTAATAAAACGAAGCCCAGGATACCTAAATTTGATTCATTTCTTAGGTGTAGAGAATTTGATGGAGAATCTCAGCCATACTTTGTGATTTCTGTGGGTTGGGAACTTCTGACTCCGTTGTAGAGTCGTGGATCGACTTATTTTGTTGTTAATAACAAGGAGTGTGTTTGACACTGAATAGAGACACTCCCTAGCTACCGTACCAAGGATGTGAAGTGATTACTTTGTGTATTGCATCTAGTTTACAAAGATAGGGTCAGAAGAACCGGTGGACCTAGTGTTAAAAAAGATTCTCTGCTACAAGATTGTCGGTTATGACTATGGCGGAGGCAATTCCTTCCGCGGCTTTATGTTCAGTCCATTGAGTATTTCCGCTACACTTTCTTCGGTTAACACATTCTGATGGTGAATTGGGCCGGGAGTCGAGTAGTCCATTGGCAGTGGACCGATCAATCCATGCGTGCTTGTTGCTGGGTCAAAACCAGTCCAACGCCTCATGTTAGGATTGGACATCAATATATCCTGGCTATCGACCAACTCCTTCTGATATTGTATATTTGACGCAATTCTCTCAGAACGTCTTTTCTCTAGCTTTTCTTCCTCCAACTTAAAACTTCCCTCTAATGTCAATCTCTGTCGCAAACCTTCATGGTCCTTCATGTTCCTCTGCTCAATCAATCCGAGTTGAAGCCTCTGATGTGACTCGGTACTGGTTAAGATCTCCTGGGCACGTTGCCGCTCACCAGAAATTGAGATATCCTGAAGTGCTTGGATATGCTCTCGTTCTCTACTCTGTCGCTGATCAAGTCGTTCCTGGCGTTGGTTTTCATTTTTGTTCTCTAGAGCATTTTGGTTTCGAGAGTGTACAGCTAGGAGTTGTGAGTCTACTCGGGCTCTTTCCTGCCTTCGCTGTATTTCGGCCTTATTTTTCATATCCAAGATCTCTATTTCCTGGAGCGTAGTGAGACGTTTTATCGTCAGTCGATCTCTAGCTTGTTGATGCTGCTCGGCTAATTGCCTCTTCTGTTGTTTTTGACGATTGGCCTCTTCTTTGATATCAGCTGGAGGATTCACAAGATCATCCGGTTGCTCTGCGTCAATATCGGTTGCCCAAAATCTATCTTTGGCTTGTTTAATGTTGAGCAGGCGCAGTAGTTCAGATTTCTGTCCCTGAGGGCCCTTGAAGAGATCCTTCTCCACGTATTTGGTCAGGGAATATGTATATTTCTGATCTTGGAACAAAAATGTATCCTCGTTGATGAGCTGCCATAATCTTTTCAGAAGTACCGAAACAATCATGACTGGATTGACGGAGTCTAAGGCGCAGTCTGAATAATATTGCCACTTTGTACTGGTGAACTTCGAATGCCCACAATGCCACTGCTTGCCCTTTTCGCCACATTAATATCACCCTCGATTGCTGTGAACCTTCGAAGGAGCACAACGACAGTTCCCGTTGGTCCGCCTTCCTCGATGGCTCGCAGTAGTGCTGCATAAAGGTCCTTATAAGTGGGTGCTAACTTGGAAGGCTTGCTGAAGACCTTCTTCAATCCTCGTGTAGAGCCTTGAATCTGGTCTACTTCGTGCTTCAATTGCCTAAGAACAGCATCCGCTATTGTTTCGTCTTCTGCGGATACGGAAGGTGTCGGGGGCTGAGACGGGCGAGTGAAGAGAGCGTTTGGCCCATGCAAAATTGCGTTGTAGCTGTGTGCCAAATTTTCAGAGTTAGTCTATCATTTCCGGGAGGAATCAAGGGTTGCAAGCAAATAGCGAATGTATGCCCATTCAATCAAGAACACACGGATTACTACCAGATAATCGACGGAGAAGAATAACTTTAAGGTGCGGGCGTACCTAGTAGCAATTTGCGCGAGCCTACTGGCTCGTTCTGCAGGCGTCTTGAGCCGAGTCATCACGTTAAGTGTAGAATATTCAACTCGAGAGATAAGGGCGGTTGACAGTCACGCAAGCCGAGTATCTGCAGATGTATCAAGAGCTTTTTTGATGTCGCCAGTGAGCGCCTCGACTTCAAATGCGCAGGAGAGTGTTTAGATTGCAAGCCCCTTCCACGAGGCGATATTACTGATGATGAAGATAGTGATTCGCGGTGATAGTCGGTGTGTTCGGCTTCGAACCACTCCTGCTGCGAAGGATGAGGTTGAGAGGTATCTTGAAACAGCATCAGAGTTGAGGTTTCTGCTTAGATATGAAGACAAGTGTAGCGTTGGTATTACGGCGTCGGCCCAGAACCTCCCAAAAGGCTTTGGTTGGTCAATCTGTCATAGGAAGAGGCGATGAGCCTATTCACTGAAATATGTACGGTATTCACTGATTATGTTTTCAAACGAAGCGGGGATAATTTAAGCGAGATTCCCAATTCTACCCCTCTTCGAGAGACATATCAGAAAACACATCTCAAATCTTACAACTTATGTGGCTTTTATCTGTGATGCATGGAGATTAGAAACAGAATTCCGAAAACATGTTCACTGATCCAGATTTATATCATAAATGCAAGTGGTGGTCCAACGGCCTAAATATTAGTGGTATTAGTCTTCATTCTTCAAAGTTATTGCTTCACTTATCCCAGATACCTATGTGTATCTCCTAACCTGGTTACATTAGAACTAAAACTGCTCTCTTATTACCCTCGAGACTCTTAAACATATAAGAATCCACAGATGAGAATCTTGAATGTAGCCGATCCATCGGAGTAAAAGAATACTACCAAGCCGATGCTTGTTTAGCGAGAAATAGAAAAGAGATTGTCGAGTAGTAAAAAGGTTTCCCCCTTCTTGATTGCACAGCCTCATACCTATGAGCTATTACCCTAGTCCCGTTCGGGTTTAAAAATAGACAGTGAGTCTGCATACATGTATGAAGCCATAGTCTCCCATAGGTGTAGTTTGCTATCGCGGAGCCAGTTACCTCGCTTGTAATATGTCAACTTAACAAACTTCACTCGAGTCAATAAGCGATAACGACGTAGAAGCGTTCATTTAAGAGACAAAAGGGAATTTGATATTGAGCTATTGAGCTATTGTGGTGACGGAGCTGAACTTCCAAATTAACACTACCTCCAACTGTACATTGAAAACATAAAATCGAGACACATCAGCAGGAATGGTCTACACGGCGAATAGGTCCGGGCCTTCCATCTCTACCTCTCCACCACCTTAGTATGTTTACTGGCAAATTGGAATGTTGACTTTATCTCCAATATCGATCACGTCTGGGTTTGGGATGTTCTTCTTGTTCGCATCAATGAGAGACTGCAGAGTGATATTAAATCTTTCGGCAATCTTCGTCAATGTGTCCTGGGCCACAACGAAGTATGGAGTATCAGTTCCTTTGGGCGCGCACGTAGCAGTGGCGGTGGGCTTCTTTGGTGGAAGGGCAGGAGCAATTTTGTTACAGGCCTTCTTTGGGATGATAAGATTGTTGCCAGCGATGATGACGTCAGGGTCAGTGATGGTGTCCCTGTTGACCTGTTGGTTTGCACGTTAGTATGAGACGGAGGATATAAAGAGGGGTAAAGGAAATGGGTATAGGGTGAGAGAAATGGGGTTGTGCGTAAGAATGAGGGAGATTTACATAGAAAAGTGCTTCCACAGTCCGGTCAAACTTGTCACCAATCTTTGTGAGGGTATCTCCTGAAAGGATCTTGTAGTCCTTCTCCTTGGCACAAGCTTCGTCTAAAGTCTCGCGTCTTGCAAGTGAGCTAAGGTGTAGGTTGATAGTCAAGGCAGAGATGACTGGGAGGAGAGCGACGGCAAGAGTAGCGAAACGCATTATGGCGGTATTTGGTTTGTTTGGTCTTGAGGTTGGTGGTGGTAATTGAAAGTCACAGTGATTAGACGTTTAGAAAGAATGAATGATTGACTCGAAGGGCAGTTGAGGGCAGATCGAATGCAATTGGTAGTTTGTGGGTGAAGAAAGAAGACAAGTAAGGGAAATCAGTCATATTTGTAGCATTTCTCGCACACCGTCAACACCCTTGCAGACTTATTGCAAGGCCATCCCAAGCAAAGATTTAAGGGTCATCATTTCTTTCGTTAAACATGATAACCACGGCCATACGAAGTGGAAGCGACGGTTTGTGACAAGATGACCGTACCGTATTTTCGGACGAGAGTGCCAACAGACCAGGCCCGAGTTACTAACCTTACCTACTGGTAAATTAATACAAGGTTCAGGCGACAATTCATTCGGACGTTAATGTGCGCACGGGTAATTGTTTATAGCGCGTCGTCGCATACTTTTGCCGGAATCCTCGGTAAACTCTTGAGTTCGATGTTGGTCAACTTGACACTCTTACTTCCTCATCCATTCGGTTGATTGTTGCTCAGACCGCTGCGGACATGAATCAACGGCAGCTGATACAGACCATCACACAAACTCTCATGGATTCCTCCAACTTGCGCCGTAGGTAGGGAAAGCGAGGTTCGGGATTGTCCGAAGTACGATCAATATGGAGAGGTAAAACCTCCCGAAGTATCATTTGTGAAAAAAAAAGAGTTCGAAATTCTAGGAAGTACCCTATATCAAACATTTTGTTTGATGTATATTCGAGAAGATGCCGTACCGCTACTTTTTAAGATGACGTGGTATCATCCCGTTGTCAAAAAAAGGTACTGTACCACGTCAAGAAAAAGTCCATGACCGACCACCGTTTCGCTTAACTTTGACCCGTGGCAGGACAACCCTCGCTCTACTGCAAGAGGTGATCAAACGGGGCAGATTTCGACACAGCAGACTATTACACCAAAACATCAGTCCACACCCTTATTTTAGTACATTTTGATAAACGATGATGATCGATTATGAATTAGTATCTAGTTGATTTGCCTTCAAGTCTTCTGTAATCATATAGCCTCTTAATATGGTAACTACATAACTCCTGTGGCCTTCTAGGTAGTGGTTTTAGGTGTAGGCCTGTGTGTCAAAATCGGCCCGGTTTATCATCACTTACAGCCTCAGTTATGCACTGTACTAGCAGCTAGTTTCACTTTTTGAGCAATTGAGCTACCGGTAGAATAACACTCCAAATACTCTCGAACGAACGGGAAATAATTTTGGTGGACACTGAAACCATTGAAATTAATCAATTTCACCCACTCCTAGACTTCTGCCCTGATTCATACATCTTATACAACTACACAGCCACCAGTTTGAGATTCCTCTCACTTTTACGCGATTGTATACAAGTGCGAGATGACGTCGAATCTCCTTATAATCAGCATGATCCTTTCGATCCGAGACCATTTAAACGAAGATACCAAATGACCTCAATATGAAGACATAGTTACCTTGGCTTCCCAACCTCATGGTACTCTGTCATCTGACGCGGAGAGAAGATACTTTTCCCAGGGTGAGATACCTACGTAGCAGATCCCTTCCCAGCTGTTCTCGTACCTCATAGAAACTTTGATATGCTATTGACAGCCAAGCCAATGTCAAATCCCCATTGCTCTTTTCTACGGGAGTCGGAACGGTTACCGAGGACCCTGTGGTACTGTTCAACAGCGTTGACCTTTCCAATTACGCTAATGACGCGAGATATTTTTGGAATGTATCATAGTAGAAGGTTTGGAAGTACAGCGTGCAAGGGATCCAGTATTATTGGAATTTAAAATGAATAGGATAACAAGCAACTTCTTAGAACCCTTAGCCCACGAGGTTGTAAAATAAAAGAATTTGCTCTTCCAAAAGGAAACATTGGAGTCGCAAAGCAAAAACACTAAGATTGTAATGTTCTTGACCAGTAGAAGCAACGTTGCATTCCTATTGGGATGTTGAGAATGCCTAAAGCAAAGAAGAATTTTCAGTACAACACTTCAGGCTTCTTTTCGATATGATTGCAAGGTGTATCATGCTGAAAATCTTGGTAGCCAAGAATCGGGATCTTGACGATGCTATTTTATCACTATAATTTAGTTTGAGGGTCGTATTATCAACCTCCGTATCCATGACCTACCCCAGGTCACATAAAAAGCCTTTACAGTACGTTTTTGTTGAGATTGATATCGTGGGGTCACATATGCTTAGCCAACCTTCTGGAATAATATCAAGATATCAACCTTTTCCTTTCCCATTAGCCGCCGGCTACCTAGCTTTTCTGTGCGGGGGTCTCTAAGACCCCAATCTCTTTGAAGAGCTAGACTACCATGTTTACCTTGATGCTAGGATTATAGGATGAGAGATGGTTGAATTAAGATTTAACAAATATTGGATTCGACGGATTGACCAATTATGCCGTATTATAATTTTATTGAGGCAGACTTTTCGGGAGATGACCCTGTACAATTAAATTATGAACCAATGACCTGGAACTCAGGCAAGGGGCATCTTGCTTGTTATTCTTATCATTACTGCCGCCCAGGCCCTCGCTCATTGATGACGTACAGGACCACTGTAAGATTACTGTACTGTGCATGGTGCCTTGGCCTTTCCGCAATTTGAACTCACAACACCACCCTCTACTGTAAAACTCCTTTCTTCTCTATCCCAAACCAACCATTGATAATTTTGAGTTTTCGCGGGGAGGCAGTTGCCGCCCAGTAATTGGTCACAAAATTGCTAACTCCTACCGGTAGATCGAATCATTCCAACTCCCTCCTCGCCATGATTACTTCAGCACTACAGCCACCACCGCAGGTTGCAAATTAGCTGTAGGACCTCTGCGTAGATCAAAGGAAATATGGATGGAGAGAATGCTCAAATCTATGTTGTGCATTTCCACACGTTTTATGCGGAATTAGATTTCTCATTTCTCAGGAATCGGCTCGCCTGGGTGGATAACGAACGGTATTGCGCGTTGCTGATTGTCAGTATATAGAAGATATAAACTCCACGACTGCCAAGTACACTCTATGCTCTTGTAACACATCCAGACCGTATGGCTGAGCCATCCGCAAGTTTCACGCCGTTTCTTATGCCATCGGATGCAATAGAGTGGTTTTACCACGGATTTTTATAATTATAAACGTCCGAGAGCACCTTCTAAGAAGTGGACAAAATCCGTGCTAAAAACACTATTATAACTTGTGGAGATAGGAGGGGACCGAGTGTTGTTGAATATAGAAAAAACTAATTCTTTAAAACCCTATATATTATAATCGATTTAAGGGTTTCTAATAACCGTGCCACCTATTTAGACACCTCGTATTTGGATTTACATTTGAATGAACACCTTGCATTCGATTTGTTTTTGAATTTTCGTCATATCAAAGATATGATACAAATCCTATAGCTTATTTTATAATGAATCGTTTGTAAATCGAGGTTGTAAAACAACGACAAAAGTTATAAACTTAGTTATATGCACACTAACAAACGTTGTTCATAATACAAAAATCCCGCGGCGAAATTACTCTAATAGTCATAGTTGGATGATCGGACTTAGTTACAGGCACTGACTCTACTATATATAGCTTCAAAATTCAAATGAGCCAGCGGGATGTGTCCTTCGGGCCTGCGTGGTTATTAGATCAACAATCGTCACACCCTTCTTCGACTGATACATACTTTCCTGCATAACCCTATTTACTTGCCGACATATGGGGATGTGGGGTTAATAAACAATCAGATATAGTCTTGGCGTATTAAGAAGCTTTATAGGATGTTTTGATCCTTCCGAATTCCCGAGCTCATACGGAAAGGCTGAACCGAAGCAGCCGAAAGGTTCAGATCTGCTGACAAGATAGTCGATCGGGATAAGTTCTTTGATCGATGCTTGCCACGCATCAGTTATAGAAGCAATAAGCACATCGTCAGGCGAGGTTTGGTTGATCACGTTACACGGACTTGGTTTTCATAAGCTATTCAGAACTCGAGAAGTGCTCGTACGTATTCAAGAGAACAATCGTGTAAACTACTTCTAATTAGCTACCTTTAACATTCCTAGGGACGAGGGGGCATATTAGAAAACATAATAAAGAGGCATTTAATTAGACGGGTAGGCGAATTTTTAGCTCAATTACGATTACACAGGCTGTCTATTAAACAACCCCTCTATTCCGTAGTTCCTAAGTAAGTTCTTTGAGGATATTCGTACTCTTGTAGGATAGAAATTTACGATTTGCCCGTGTTATACACTCTCTGTTCTAAAAAGCGGCGCTTTGTCGCGTAGAGGCCATTGAGGCCGCGAAGTGATCGACCGGAGGCCATTAAAGTCGTATAATCTGCGAAAAAGTCATTCGTAACAACTCAAGAAGAGCCCCAAAAGTTCCAAAACAAAAATATTTGCGTGTTTTTGCTGACGCCCGATGACTTTGTCTCCAAATGTCCCCAAGGACTTCGCACAGTGCCTTTGATTGACTATAAAGCTATGGTACTCTAGTAGCTTAGATAAGAAAGTCCCAATGAAGTTTTGATAGTCATCACTTGAAAGAGTTAGATTTGTTAGACGATTTACATCTTACGACCTTCCTGCGTTGGTGATTTCTAGTCAATTTAATCAAAAGCCGATGAGAGCTAATAAGAGCCAATAAGAGCCAATGAGGTCCGATACAGTATATAAACATACGACTTTTTGCATATCAAGACTTTCGATTAAGAAAGCCAGATTAAAATCCTCTTTGAATAGATAACCAGGACGTTTTTTAATTATTTATTAATCATCTGAAATGAGATTATAGAACAAATGGCGAATTAGTCATTGGTTCACCATCTATTGTAGCTAAGAATAAGTGGTAGCCAGACAAGACGAGTAGACTATCTTGAGTGTAACAGTTTTCTTCTGGGGCAACACCAGTTCAGATAGAACATTGCCTAAAAATATATACAAGAAGATAATCAGCTAATCCCCATAACATCTACAATCCGAGACCAGTTCAACTCAACTTCAAGCCTTCGAAATCATGCTTTTGATCCAACATAATAAACACTTACTCCTCTATCTCCATTCTTCAAATGCTCTTCATCATCTTTCCTCCCTCTCCATTTCCTAATCCTATCTTCCACAATAGCATCCCTCAAATCCTCAAAAGTTTTGAGCGTATCCCCATTTCCTTTCCTCCCAGAAGCAACCTCCCAACAATCCAGAAACTTCCAACCCACCCTCTCAAACCTCTTTCTTACAGGTCCATTCAAAGCAACAAACCTCAACTCTACCTCCAGATCCGCAACTCTCATCTCCTCCCTCAGCTCATGGAACATATCCGTCGCAGTAGCATCCAAAAAATCGACACTCGAAAAATCAACTACCAACACTTTTAAGGAGGGATTCTCAATAAGGCCTTTCAATTTCCCATCATCAACTTTGTTATCCGACCACCCGCGTTCCTTTTTCGAAATCTCAACAATAAACCCCTCACGTATCGACACTAAAATGTCTCTTTTAATCCTCGTCGCATTAAAAAAGAAAACTCCCGACTCAATCGCAACTACACAAGTACCCACATTTAAACCCAGCGGCTCCAGCCCACCCCTCGACCCGTGAAATATCACCTCCAAATCCCTCAAGCCCAACGGTCTCGCTCTCGCAAACACCAACCTCACAAGCGAATACGCAACCATAAAAACAACAACAAAGCCGATGCCCAGCTCGGCACTCAACAACAGCGTAATAACCGCAGTCCCAAGACTCGCCACAAAATCAACAAAACTCGCCCTCCAAAACCCAAGGTATTCCCGGGGACTCGGCACAATCTTGAAACCGGAACGATGATGACCGCCGCCAACGTCGCCTTCGGGATCCAGAACAGTGTGGTGGTAAGGAAGAAGATCCCTGCTAGGACGACACCACTCGTAAAGAGACCACCAAGCGGACTCCTAACTCCGCTTTCCAAATTCACAGAAGACCTCGAAATGGCACCTCCGACGCCCATCCCGCCAAATATACCATTGAGCAGATTCGTGAGGCCGAGGAATGTAAGTTCCTGGCTGTTATCAACTTGGTACCCGTTCTTTCTTCCAAACGAGGTGCAGATGGCGATGTGTTCCAAGCTCGCCGCTATGAAAACTGGGACTGTTTTGGGGAATATTAAGCGAATACTCTCTAGTGTAGGTAAGGACGGTGTTTGGAGACCAGAAGGTATATTCCCCGTCAATCCCCAAAGAGGCTCTTCTCTATTTCTATTGAGAGCAAAACTAAGACCCGTGAAGAGGGCAAGGATAATGGCATTCCTGCTCGTCGCAATGGCCCAAACGATTGTAGATTTCTTTCCCCATTTCTGGCCGATAACTTGCAGAACTAACAGCAAGAGGATACTCGAAAATCCGATAAGTACGGTATATGGTTTTGCTTTCATTATGTTTCGGAAAATAAATGGGATTTGCTCGATCCAAGGGGATGACGCACCGCTTTCTCCAAGTATAGCAGGTATCTAACCTGTAATAATGATAATCGAAGCCCCAGTAATGAATCCCGTCAGCACAGGATTCGAGACGAAATTCAAGAGCCAACCAAGCTTCAGGGGGCCTGTAAGAAGACATATAATCCCGATTGAGAAGGCGATGGTAGATGCTGTCGTTGCAGCGTTCACTCTATCCGCGAGCTCGATGACGATTTAACCTGTAAGAAGATCAATGATTGAGGTTGGGCCGGTACTGACATCTTTTCCAAGTCACGAAGTAACATCTCCCCCTCGGAAATACACTGGTTGGTAGCTTGTACTCTCACCTTTCGTAGTCCCCATCACAACATACAGAACTCCCGGCGACCAACTCGCCAACAGCCTGTCTTGCAATGGAATCTTCGTTAAAGCCGCATATGCCAACGCCTGGGGAATCAATAGAAGGCCCACTGTAATCCCCGCTACAACATCGGGAAACAGCCATTTTGGGAGTAATTTGGGAGCCAGTGGATGATTGGAAACTTGCTGATGATGTATTTACCACTGGCTCCTGGTAATACCCTGGCACCTCGGAAAAGGCCATATCTTGCACGCGTGAGATTTTCATCTTTTTGGATTTGAGAAATGGTGTCGGTCCATTTTCGACGGAATTTGTGCATTGGGGTGGGGCTGATGGGGTCAATAGACTCAGAGAATGAGAGTTAGAAGGATAAAGAATGATGGTGGGTGTATTCACGAGGACTGAGAACCCAAGAATGAATTGAAATTGTTGTTTTCCTACATACTCGCCGCAAGTATAGCCACAAATGAACTCATTGTATTCACGACTTCCCATCCCGAAGAGGTAAAGTTCGCGATAGCGCGGGTTGGTCCAACGTTGGAGAAGCATCTGATGTATGAAGCAATCCCAAGTTATGTCAGAGTCACAGAAAAGAAAACAGATACCCAATCATCAGCGAAATAAATATAGATACAACATAGAGCTCACACAAACCAGCTGAAAGTGACACAATGGAACCGTGAATCTGGGACCTTAACGTTAACCCTAAATATGCTGATGAGGATTCTTGGGATTTATCGTGGTAAAGCGATGTTAAAAGAAGTGATACTTGCAGGGCATGCTGATGGAGTATGGAGCTGTGTAAACCAGAGACTCTGCTAATGTATAAGACTTGAACAGTTTTCCTTAAGGAAAACGGTGTGTGGTAGCTTCTTATGGACGGACTTTCCTGCAAAGGGAGCTGTAGGTAGAAAGCTGTTACTTAAGTGGCCTGAAAGTTCGCTTCGTAACTTCTGTTCCTCTATCTAAAGGTACATACTCTATAATTTCCTTAGACATAGATACCACAGGACTATAATCAATTTGCAGACTGAGTTCTCAGTTATCCAAATAGAGGAAGAGACAGACTTGTTCCTTTTTAATAATTTGAGCAGGAACGCACACACAAGAGAAACAACTAGACTTGTAGCTCCATGAAACGGCTTGTTTCTACAGTACCTCTTCCCAAAGAGCAACCGCAAGCGACTTATTTTCCCACAACCGTCCACCTCGTTTACAAGTCCCTTGTCCACATATCGCTAAATCTCCAACTCCAGATACAGACCCCAACAACCTCATGTTCCCGACCCCACCAACATCCAAACCACCTACCTCACACCTCCCATCTTCCAAGGTCCCCAGGTTCAACTCGAATCATACCCGAGTAAGCGGTTTATACATGGAACCGCAAAGTGGCCCATACTTTATCATCACGAAAACTGTCCACCAGCGATACCAAATGTCTATCGTGGTTGAGCAGCTTACCCGAACAGTTCTCTCACTACAACACTCCATCTCAATCCCCAAACACCCAACTGCCCGGAAGCATTGCGGGCCGGTACATACACAACCGTTCGTTTCACCATCTCTGACTCGGCATCCGAGCATGAAGCGCTCGTACTGGTGTCACGATCATGACCCGTGGTTTCGAGCGATGAATCGCTGTCTGTGCGTGGGATCGTCTCATTCCATTTACTTCGTCGTACCCTCGTACTGACTCTACTACTGAGTAAGTAGAGTAGGGAATCGTTCTCCATTTGTGACTGGTCTGAAGCGACAAAGAAGCGCATAAAGTCCTCAACCATCCACTCTAGGAAAGTGGGTGGCTAGAATCTGGGCCGAAGGGGCATATATGTACTAGAAATAAGTTGTTTGTAGACGTTCCTTCGGGACACTTGGTACAACAGCAAGCGAATCATCAGTTAAATCCAAAGTTCTTTCTGGTGAACTCGCGCACGGACGGCGTCCTGGCATGTAAGAGATGTAAGAGAGGCGAGCATTGCTCTGTACACGCTATCAAAAGTCATTATGTCACAACTCTAGCAAAGTAACTTAATTGTCCTATTTCACCTAGTACAATAAGCATTGAGAAGTATCAATTGTTCTAAACTATTCGTATAATTGATTGAGTTATATAAGGTCGTTAGGATAATCATTTTATAACTCCGGTATGTATATAGTAATGCCCGCCTCTCTTACGCCAAATCGCACACATTATTCGGTCTTTTTAACTAGTTATATTAGTTAATAATTCGTAGTTAAGGCGATTAGGTTAGTTTTAGACCTCTCGGTATTTATATGTTCTCTAGATTTGAAGGAAGGAGCGGTAGGCGATAATCCCTAAGTAATCTCTTTATAGGGGTTTAAATCCTCTTACACTAGCTTTCCGAGCAGGCGCCTTACAAATGTCCAGTCGGGCAGCTTATAGGGTTAAGCTAAGGGTTAAGGGAAGCAACATAAGTTCTTCTAGTATAATAGCAGCAATGGGTAGTAATGGTGGCCAAATGCGAGTCGCGGGGGTATCGCCTTATTTAGGGGTAGTAGTAGGTACAGAGAACCTGGGCCTAAGGGGCGTATATATACTAAGAATTAGTAATCTATAGACGTCCCTTCGGGACACTTGTATAATAGTAATTAAATCACTAGTTAAATCCAAGTTCTTTCTAGAAACCCTTCTGCTATATGAGATCGTTTGTGTTTGTACCTAGCTAAGAGGTAGGGCTTCTTTTTGGCCTTTCGTCGGCGCCATCCAAAGTCAACAAGACAGCGTTGTAGAGTACCACTTCGAAGGGGTACGCTATAGTGAACTGCTAGCTGGAGAAAGAACTTGGATTCAACGCATGATTTGATGCCTATTGTACTAAGTGTCCCGAAGGGCGACTGTAAACTGCTTATTCCTAGTACTGTACATATATGCCACTTGGGCCAAGGTTCTAGCCCCCACTGCTGGTCCCAATTCACACAGCGAATCCGGTAAGAATTTAAGCGAAGCGCTCGAAGAGCTCGGTCCTTTATAGCCTCTATAAACCGCCTAGGAAGCCGGCTTACTCGTGCCCTCCCAAGCTTAAGCATAGGGGCAAAATAAGTATCATCAACAGCACTTATTAACCTATTCCACCGCTCCGCAATAGTAGCGAATGTGACAGGGTGCCTGACCCTAGGCGTCCTTTCGTAGTTTCGCCAGCCATGGAGTTAAGCGTTCAACTACCGATAAAGCAGTATAAATAGCAGTAGTTTATTGTGAATGAGGAAGTGCTTACTAAGCAACTCGGTAGGATAAATATCCTATATTCGAGTAAACTCCTCTATTAACAATGCTATAATTATAGTTATATTATACGATTCTAGGTTCTTTTAAAAGGATAAAATATTAATAATAAGTAATAATAATACCTTTAAAATAGTTCTCTTAAAAGGCTAGAGTATCTACTTATAAAGGAAAAGTTATAAAACCAAGTAATTAAGCGTTTATAAGGGTAATATAAGAAATGTGTAATTAACGTACCCTGATCGATAGATATACTTAATAGAGCTAAAGAAGCGTAGAATATAGTAAGGGCAGAGTTATAAGCCTAATTTAATAAAGAAGATACTACAAGAGCTACTAGCAATTCTATAAATATAGTTCGCTATTAGGGACAAAGGTCGGTTACTCCTAAGTAAAGAAGATTAGCGTCTCCCGAACTGTCGCGGGTCGAATGTCGCGATTCGGTTATTCTTCCTCGTGACTGCGGGACAAGTGGCTGCCTAAGCGAGCATGCATGTCCCACGCTTCAAGCAAACAAACAATGAAGGAAAACTCTTCAAGCAAACATGCCAACACACAACTCCCTCAGAAAATTCTTTAAGCAAACACGACAACACATCAAATCCCTCATCGTGGCGTGATAAGGGATGTGGGAGACGCGGGGGATAAGGAGCTGTTGGGTGTGTGGAGTTTCTGGCATGAGAACCTCAGGTTTTCTCCTCAGATAGCTCTTCTCTCCTTAGCTTTAGATTCTAAGTAGTGAAATAGCAGTATCCTTCACCGTTCCGTTACACGAACGTCCTAAAATCGAACGTCCTAAAATCGAACGTCCTAAAAATCGCTAGGTTTTTTACCCTAAGAATAATTAATAATTTAAAGGTATAAGTTAGCTCTATAATATAATATACCTAAATATACTCTAGTTCTAGGAGCTTTTAGTTTAGATTAACCTTGTCTAGATATAGTATAATAAGTAAGGATTTAACTATAAGGATATAGATATATTAATCTATATAAAAGACAAGGTATAGACGTATATAGTATTCTAATTAGATATAGTATAGCTATAATAAGTAGAGCCCTAGGTGTCACGAATCACGTGTTCACGTGATACTTGTCATAATAAGAGGCGCAACCCTCGACAGGCACATTCAGGTTTCTTATAGCAAATAGGGATCGCTTAGGGTAGCTAAGCGATCCAAGGATTTCTTCCTTACAGAAGATTATGTGACTAGGGAGTATGAGGAAGTATAAGGGAGGCTTATACTACTCTATACTACCGGAGTATAAGGAAGTATAAGGAAGGCTTATACTACTCTATTGTCGGACCATACGCGGGGTATGAAGGTTCTATATAATACTCACACTGGCTAACTAAACTTGGCTGGGTGTTCGCTGGTTGGTATGCTATGATAAGAAGAAGACTATCGGGTTGTTCACTTGGAAGTGAACTCGTTACTTGTATCAAAGATGTCAAACTAATATGATAAGATTGATAACTAAGTTGAGCACGAAGCTCCTATCTAATGGCAGACGTGCCAGTCTTATATAGAGGGCCTTCGTTCTGTCTTGATCACTCTCATCGACTGTCGATGTTGGCGATCATCGCTTTCATCGACAACGATAATGTCGATGAAGCTTATCACGTGATTTCTTACTGTGAAATCCTTGGATCGTCTAGCTAGTCTATTCGATCCCTATTTGCTATAAGAGCTTGTGATGTGCTTGACCTGTCAGGACGCCGCCTGGTCTTCACTCATCCCGTGACAACACGTGATTCGTGACAAGATATCTCTTATAACCTAGGTTCTTAAAGTTATCTTATAATATTTATATAATAGTTATAAAATTAAAGTTTTATCTAAAAATCGTATAGTAATAATAGTCTAATATAGCTCCCTTAAGTATAATTAGAAAGGCTTTTATAAGATAGTTTTAAGTTATTTTATATTAGTTATAAGTAAGATAAAAGATCTTAAGTTTTATATTAAAAATATTAGTAATACTACTATACTTTATACTATTCTAATATATTTTTATAAAACTCTAAATTACTTAAGAATCCGGATTAATACCTAAGAGTAGTAGTAGTCTAACTAGATTATAACTAAACTATTAGAGATAGATAAGACTTATTTATAGGAAGTTCTACTAGTATCCGCTAGGTAGTTATCTATATTAATAGGGCTATATATAGCCTTAAGCTAGTAGTTGTAGGAAACCTTACTAAACTTATAGATTTAGTACTAGGTTTAAAATAGTTATATTACTACTATATCTAAGTAAATATCCTAGTACTTACGGTTATAGTACATTTTAAAGAGTAGCTTATATAGCCCGATTTAGTTATATATTACCCTGTTAAGACTAAGCCTAATAGTAACCTATATGTAATTAAGCCTTTTATTATAGGATTAATTCGAGTACTCTAGTAGTAATCGTATTATTATTAATATTAAATATATAAATTGTTCGGCTTTAGATATTAGGTCTAATAGTACTAAAAGATAGTAGTATAAAGTTTAGCTTATTATTAAAGGTACTCTTCGAAATAAGAAGAATTACTTTATTCTTAAGTAGAGATCTTAGTAGCTTATTACTATCTATTTATAACTATTGGTTTAAAGGGTTCTTTTATAGGGCTAGTAGTTTATATAGTTATAATACTACTAGATCTAGTACTAGATCTAGTTTAGTTTATAATTATACTTAAAGTTATACTTATAATTATATTATCTTTTAGTTAGATTTTAACTTTGACGAACCTATACTATAAATATTAGAGTCTTAGTCTTTAATTATCGCGGAGAGCTTAATATCCTATAGTCTAGTACGTATTATATTCAGCTTTAATATACTCTCTTATACTATACGTACTACTTACTCCTAAGGCTATATATACTCTCTTATTCTCTATACTATATTAAATAGTACCTAAGTAACTAAAAGTTTATTAATACTTAGCGCTACTAATACTCCTTATTAGCGGAGTACTAAGTAGAAAGATCTATAAATATCTATACTATAACTCTTAAAGTATTATAAAGTCTAGTCTTAAAAATCTTAAGTATATTTATTTGTAAGTTCCTTATCTTAAATTATACTATCCTAGTATTTATTAATTACTATCTTTATAAACTAGCTAGAAGTAGGTCCTTTCCTAGACGTCTTATTCTAAACTAGATTACTATTATTAGTATATTAGTATAGTAGACCGTTTATAATTAAAGATACTTAATTAATAGATTTATTAAAATTAAAATCTAAGTATTTAAATACTACCTTACCTACCTTATTTTATTAAGTTTTTAGATTTCCGGTTATCTAAGTAATATTATTAAGTTAACTTTAAATACGTTCTTTAATATCCTAAAGTCTCTATATTCCCTAAGTTAGTTCAAGATAATTTAGGTTATCTTCTATATTATTATTAAGGTTTTAGTTACTTGGTTTAAGTACTTAACTTAAACTACGTTTAATTAGTAAATAGTCTCCTTTACCTAGCTAAGGTAGGAAACTATCTAGGTTACTAGTAGTAGTATCTACTATTATTTAAGAAGATAATATAAGTACTCTAGTATCTCTAGTATCTATAGTATATTTTTAGAAGGTAGTTAAGGTAGTATAGTAGTATTCTAGTATTTTATAGTAGTAAAGTTATGAAGTACTTTTAGCTTATTTATAGTATAAATAGCTCTATAAACAAAGTCTCGAAAGTATTATAAGTCTCTAATCTATACGTACGTAATATTAATTAGTATTAGTTCAACTTTATTATTAAATATAAGGTATAATATAGGAAGAGGCTAAACTTTAGTATTAAACTATTCTTATTATTAATATATACTAAGTTAAAGGTATAGAAGTCGTACTATAATAATATAGGCAGGACTAGCCTAGTTAGGTAGTCCGTGCTACCGAGTATATTTACTCTGATATTATAGCGATAAGTATAATATGATATATATATAATCGCTAAGAGAATACATAGTCCTTTAAATATCCTTATAGATACTTTCTTAAGAAACTTAGATAAAATAATAGCTAATTAGTATCTCTTCTTAAAATAGAACCTCTAATTAAATACCTTTATTTTATACCTAGCTTTTCGAATCTTATAGCTAAGTTTATATACCGATGTCTTTCTACTAATACGCGTAAGGTTTATAACTTTCTAAGCTAAGAGATTACGTCTAGCTTAGCTAGCTATAATATAAGCCTTACTTAACTAGGTATCTACTAGAGTAATTAGAAAGTAATAGGGACTTTTAATAATAGGATAGCTATAAGTAAACTCTATATAAGTTAGGATTTCCGCGATTTACTTATACTATATAGAGAATTAATATCCTCTTTAAATATTTAATAATCCGCTTTTACGTTAAGTATTAGTTAGTATTTAGTCCTTTTAAGGTCTATAAGAAACTTATAAAGCTAAACCTCTTTCTAATACCTAGATTCGCTTAAGTATATTAACTCTATATAAACTATATACGCTACCTCCTAGTTAGTTTAATTACTTAAATTTCAAGGTAGCGATTGAACTAGTATTTGTAGTATTCCTATAAATAAACAAGATTATATATATAGAGCTAGAATTAAAGAATAGATTAATATTTAAGTATTTAAAGCTTTAATACTAGGATATAGTATTTAGTTCTTAAAACAAATATACTACTATTTTCCTATATTTAAAGTAAAAGTAATATTAATTACTCTAGCGTTAATATTATAGTAGAGAGAACCCTTAATAATATTTACTCTATTATAGCGCCTTTATAACTTTTTAACCTTAATCCTTAAATACTAAATTCTCCTCTCTTTTATATAGAACAAGGAGCTTTTATAAGAGACTTCTATATTAATACCTTATAAGAGCGCCTTTACCGAATTAGTATACTAAATTATATACGATATGTAGGTTATAGCCCTCGCCGTAGTATAGCTTAGAGAGCCTTAGATTTAGGTATTTAGACTCCGATATTTAATATCTTAGCTAATAGTCTTTAGAAGCTTTTAAAGGTTATTTTACTCTTAGTTTATAAAATCGCTATTAATTAAGTTATTACTTTTTATAAGGATTTTAATCTCTTTTTCTTTTCTTATTTATTATTATTTTATCTTCCTTATTAGCTAGTTCTTTTCGTCTCTTAAAGACGGCCTAGGATACTAATACTTCTTTATAATATACTAAATAGAGCCTTCTAATTAGTCTATAATATATAAGAAGTCTAAGTATTTAAAGCTAGCTAGTAATATAAGAAATTAATAATAAGCCTTCTTTTATAACGTGACGAATGGACGATAAATGTCTGGATTTAAGCGAGGGATCTCTAGGGAGGGACGTAGGCGAGCCCGAAGGAGAAGGAATATAATTAGAATCTAGATTAATAGGATCAGATATAAGGGTTAAATCAATTAAATAGGTGGATTTGGCCTGCCAAACCCGGAAGAAGAAGCAAAAGAAGACATAATTGCAAGGGCCGGCCTTAATTGTTTGGTGGTGAGGGGGGTATAGTATCCTAATAAAAATGTTATAGTTTTATTCTCAATGACTACACTAAGCTAATCCCAAGTCTCAAAATATCCAAAATATCTCGAACAATTATCAATATTATCCCATCGCTTTCAATTAATTCTATTGATTTTTCCAAATAAATCATATAATATAAAATTTTTTCGTTAAATTAAGCTAAGACAAACAAAGCCTCTACGTCTTTCCTATATACTAGAAGGTATAAAATAATAATATCCTAGAAACCCCGAGTAACAAAAATACTCCTTTAAACAATTTAATACAATTAAAACAATTAAATCTTAATTAATCCAATCTATTTAGGACAACTACTTTTATTCTTCTACTAATTCTAGAATAACAGGCTAAATATAGCTACCTAGGTAGATTGGAAACATTATCCTAAAACCCTTGAATAATGAAAATAGTTGTTCGAGTAAGATAGGATAATAAGAATCTGTAAATGTTTATTAAACCAAACTATCTAGGACAATTACTTTCATTCTTCTATTAATTCTAGCATAATATACTAAACCTACCTACCTATGGATATTATAATAAAATTATCCTAAAAACCTCGAAGAATAAAAATATTTATCTAAGCGAGATAGGATAGTAGAAACTAACTTGTCTTTATTACCCTAATCTATTCAAGACAATCACTTTTATTATTCTATTAATTCTAGGATAATACGCTAAACCCACCTATTTATAGATATTATAATAAAATTATCCCAAAAACCTCGAACAACAAAAATACTCCTCTAAACAATTTAAAACAATTAAAACTATTAAATCTTGATTAATCAGATATATTTAGGACAATCACTGCTATTGTTCCATTGATTCTAGAATAACAGGCTAAACCCACCTATCTAGGTATATGAGAAATATTATTCTAGGAGCCTTGAACAATGAAAATAGTTATTCCAAGTATATAGGATAATGGAAAGCAATAAATCTTGATTAACCCAATCTATTTAGGACAATTACTTTTATTGTACTATTGGTTCTAGGATAATGGATTTTTAAGATGTGCTTAGAGGATTAGTTTTAGACAGGAAAGGCGTTACTGGTTATATCATTCACCACTCTACACTATTAGCAAAACTGAAAAGTCTGTAGTACATATAGTTTAGATCAGAGACTAGTAACAAAAGCACAACACAACAAAATCAATAGAGCCGAAATAAATCTCAACCGATTCCAAGTACGATCATCATAGCAAGGAAGTGACACTAAGATTTATATCTATAGACACTCGCTCTAACCACCAAAAACACACAAAAGATCGCAGGACTTTTAATTCCACCTATAAAACCCCCAAAAGAAAAAAAAGAGAAACGCCAATCATTGCACATACATACATACAGTCATTTGTTCCCACGCCTACCACGCTATCTAAGGAGCCATAACCAGCGCCAAAAGTGCCATGCGGCAATATAATCCATATCTCATCTGTACACACAAAAGAATCAGTAACCGTTTTCAGAACCAAACACAAATCAAGAGGAAAAGAACACGGAACGGGGGAGAATAGAACATGCCTGTCTAAAATACGCCGCCCGCTGATCAAAGTCCACCTCCTCCGCAATCTCATTATTCCTCGGCAGAGGATGCATAACAATCATATGACTCTTCGCACTGCTCAAAGTCTTATTGCTCACCACAAAGCTATCCTTGAGACGTTCATACTCTTCCAAGTCCGCGAAGCGCTCCTTCTGCACACGGGTGCAGTAGAGGACATCGCTTCGGGCGACAACCTCGGACGTCAATTCCGTTGTTTCAATGAGGAGTTGGCCCGGTTTAGACTTGATCAATTCGAGGATTTCAGCTGGGAGGGCGAGGGGCTTTGGTGAGACTAGTTGGATGTTGACGTCGTAGTGTTGGAGGAGCTTGACGAGAGAGTGTACGGTTCGTCCGTAGCAGAGGTCTCCAACGAATGTAATTGTCAAGCCTGTAACAGTTCCTAACTCCTCACGGATGGTGAAGAGATCTAGGAATGCTTGAGTGGGGTGCTCTTTGCTGCCGTTGCCACCGTTGATGATTGGGACAGGTGAAAACTTTGCTGCGGTATCAGCACTGCTCTCATCGGGATGTCTGAGAACAATCGCATCTCCATAACATCCCAGAGTACGGATAGTATCAGCCAAGGTTTCTCCCTTTTGTGTGCTCGAGTGCTGGTTCGAAATGGCCACAGTGCGTCCACCCAATCTTTGCATAGCAGCATCGAAGGAAGCAGAGGTACGAGTCGATGGCTCGAAGAACATCGTGCAAAGTACTCGTCCTTTGAGAATGTCAAGGACACCTTCTCTTTGAACACCCAGTCGCATCTCTTGTGCAACCGTGAAAAGCAAGTGGAGGTCTTGTCGGTTGAATTGGTTGACAGAAAGAACATTATGGTTCTTGAATGGCGACTGTGCTAACAACTGCTGGAGAGAAGGAGCAACTGTGGGCTGGGGGTAGAGTGATGGACCAAGAAGGTCATGGCTATTTCTTGACGCAATTCCAGGGGGAACGGGACGGTGGCTGACGTGGGCGTCTATGTTGCTAATCTCGAGATCATAATTCCTGGCAATGGCTTCAATCAGAATCTTTGCGTTCTTCACATTTGTTACCAATGGTGTTTGGTAGTCGACAGCCATTCTTCGAGTTTGGTATCCTTTACTCATGTAGTTTGCTGGTCGACGGTAACGGTTGCTGGATGGAAGATTGATGTACAAATCGATCATGTTGTTTGCAAGATGCTGTGTCAGCGAGTACTCCGACTTCTGGTCATCCCCGCCTTTGCCAAGAATCTCAAGATATTGAACTGTGACTTGATGCTCCTGGAGGAAATCGGCAGTACCAGCAGTGGCAAAGAGGCGGTAACCCATCTTTTGAAGCTTTACGATAGATGGAAGCATTTCGTTCTTGTCCTTGTAAGATCCAATGGACAAAAGAATGTTGCGGTTGGGCAGTTTGAAACCTGTTGAAATGAGGGCTTTGATGTAGGCCTCGTATTTGTCGGCACCAAAGCAAGCAACCTCACCAGTGGAAGCCATCTCTACACCGAGAACAGGATCGGCACCGGACAAACGCGAGAAACTGAATTGTGGCACTTTGACACCGACACAGTTCTTGGGTAGCTGAGTTGGAGGATACTCGACGAAAGGAACACCCATGATTGCTTTAGTGGCCATTTCAATCAAATCAACACCCATAACCTTTGAGATGAATGGGAACGATCTTGATGCCCTAACATTGCACTCGATGACCTTGATGTCATTGTCTTTGGCGATGAACTGGATGTTGTAAGGGCCGGTGACATTCAAAGCATCTCCAATTTTACGTGTGGCTTCCTCAATTCTCTTGATAGTTGTGGCCTCAAGATCCTGTGGTGGTAAAATCAAGGTAGCATCACCGGAATGAACTCCTGCGTTCTCAACGTGCTCCGAAATAAAATGGCCTACCATTTTTCCATTCTTGGCTACTGCGTCCATCTCGATTTCTTTGGCATTCTCAATGTATTTGGTAATGACCACTGGGTGCTCTCGAGAAACCTCAGCAGCCTGCGCAAGGTAGGCTTGAAGGTCAGCCTCTGAGTAGACTGTGTTCATAGCAGCACCAGAGAGAACATATGACGGACGAACCAACACAGGGTACGAGACTGTGTTGCAGAATTCTTTGGCCTCTTCGAAGCTAGTGAGTTCTTTCCAAGTAGGTTGGTCAACACCAATTCTATCCAACATACGAGAGAACTTGTATCGATTCTCAGCGTTATCAATCATTTCAGGGGATGTCCCGAGGATCTTGACGTTGAGGCGATGCAGTGGGAGGGCCAGATTGTTGGGGGTTTGTCCGCCCATTGAGATCAAAACACCGGATGAGCATTCTTTTTCGTAGATGTCGAGAACACTTTCGACGTTGATTACCTCGAAATAGAGTCTATCGGCTTCTTCTGTGTCGGTGCTCACGGTTTCCGGGTCGAGGTCAAGTTAGTCTTGATATAAGAAAGGGTATATGGAGGGGAAGAGGGAGGGAGGGGGAAAGAGGAAAGGAAAGAAGGAAATTGGAGAGGGGCTTTACTACTGAAGAAGTTGTTAGCGGATTTCTTTCGAACAATTTGTAAATCAAACAAGCTAGTAATGAATATTCGAATGGGGGTAGAGTTGAAATGGGGGTGGGGGTGGAAGGGGGGTGTAGTTGGTGGGGGGTCGGTAAAGGGACGAGTGTCTCTCTTGAGGGGAAAAGTAAGAGAACCGCTTTGAATGCACCTGTACAGATTCCATTGACCCAAAAACCCCGCATAATCAAATCAATTATGCGAAAGCTTTAGGTCAATTGAGTTTGGTCTGGCATGATTAACCCAAAAAACTCACACAATCAAATCAATTGTGCGAAAGATTTAGGTCAATTAAGTTTTGTCGGACATAATTAAACCAAGCACTTTGGGACAATTAAGTCGCGGGTGTACGCGAAGCAGTGCTGGATCTGATCCTTATAAAGCAATATTTCAACCCCTCCTTGGGCAGCTGGAACAGGAGCAATAGAGAAAACCACTTACTAGTTGACCATGACAGTTTTGAAACCAGTCGCACGAAGAGTTCTGATAGCTCTGACTGAGCACCAATCAAACTCCACAGAAGATCCGATTCGGTAAACCCCAGATCCCAGTACCATGACCTACACATAAGTTAACGAATGATCTGCAATCCGAATTAACTCTCCCTTACACCGTGATCGTTGAAAGTGATATCGCTCTCTGATCCATTGTATGTCATGTACAAATAGTTCGTGAATGCCGGGAATTCTGCAGCAACGGTATCGATTTGCTTTACAACCGGGGTGATTCCAGCTTCAACTCGCATACGTCGAACAGCGAGTTCATTAGAACCCCAGAACTTAGCCAATTGACGATCACAGAAACCAAGTTGTTTGGCTTGACGGAGGAGGATGAGTTCGATGTTATCTGTGCTCAAGGTGGACATCAACTTGCTAAAGTCGCTGAGTCCCTTTAATCTGCTCAAGAACCATTTATCAATCTTGGTCATCTCCCAGATCTTCTCAACAGAGTATCCCGAGTGCATGGCATTTGCAATCGCAAATAGACGTTGATCAGAGGGCGTTTGGAGTTCATCATCGATCGACATGAGAGCTGGAGTCTCGTTGAATCCCAAGTTGTTGAAATCGATAGCACGAATGGCTTTCTGGATTGCTTCTTCAAATGTTCTGCCAATGCTCATTACTTCTCCAACACTCTTCATTGAGGAACCAAGTTGAGTGGAAACACGATTAAATTTCTTTAGATCCCATCTTGGCATCTTTACCACGACGTAATCCAGCGAAGGCTCAAAGCATGCGCATGTAACTTTTGTGACAGAGTTGGAAATCTGGTTGAGTGGGATATTTAAACCCAACTTGGCTGCGATAAATGCCAAAGGATATCCAGTGGCCTTGGAAGCCAAAGCAGAGGATCGAGATAATCTAGCGTTGACCTCGATAATGCAATACTCTCTAGAAAATGGGTTGAGAGCATATTGAATATTGCACTCACCGACAACTCCCAAATGGCGAATGACATTGACAGCTGTGGTTCGCAGCATGTTATAGTCCTCATCAGAAAGTGTCTGCGATGGAGCAACGACGATGGAGTCTCCGGTATGGATCCCCAAAGGATCAAAGTTCTCCATGTTACAAACTGTAATGCAATTGTCCTGAGCATCTCGAACAACTTCGTATTCAATCTCCTTCCAGCCTTTCATACTTCGCTCAATCAAAACTTGGGGACTGGCAGCAAATGCTTTGTTGCAAAGCTCTACCAATTCTGCCTCATTATTGGCAAAACCGCTTCCAAGTCCACCAAGGGCATAGGCAGCACGAACAATGACGGGAAATCCAATGTCCTTGACGACCCGCACAGCCTCTTGAACAGTGCTAGCTGATGCAGATTTTGCACATTTCTCACCAATAGATTCCATACTACGAGCAAACAACTCTCTGTCTTCGGTAGTGATGATTGTATCAATTGGTGTTCCGAGAACCTTAACACCAAGTTCTTCAAACTCATCTTTCAGTTGGATACCAACCTGGAGAGCGGTCTGTCCTCCGAAAGTTACGTAAATCGAATCAGGTCGTTCGCGAATAATGACTTTGCGGACGAATTCGGCATTGACCGGAAGGAAGTAGACCTTGTCTGCCAACCCTTTGGATGTTTGGATGGTGGCAATATTGGGGTTGATCAAAACAGTATAGATGCCTTCTTCTTTGAGAGCTTTAATGGCCTGACTACCAGAGTAGTCGAATTCTCCAGCTTGGCCAATGGATAATCCACCGGAACCGAGGACAAGAACTTTCTTCACATCCACCCTTGGTCGAAGTCTCTCGTTTTCGAGTTTGTCACCTCCAGGGAAAGTGACTGGTTTTGAGAGCAATGTTTTATCAGCAGTAGTGCCCACAATCGTATTGATAAACACATCAAACAGAAATTCGGTGTCTCGTGGGCCTGGGGTACTTTCCGGGTGGAATTGCACACTGAAGTATGGCTTGCTGTTGTGTCTAATACCCTCGTTGCTGCCGTCATTAGCATTAACAAACAGCTCCATCCAGTCGGATGATAAACTGGCGGTATCGACTGCGAAACCGTGGTTCTGAGACGTGATGTGACATTTTCCAGTCAACATGTTCGTACACGGGATGTTGTGTCCACGGTTACCAAACTTCATCTTGGATGTGGTTGCACCAGATGCTCTAGCAAGCAATTGGTGTCCCAAACAAATTCCAAATATTGGGGTTCGGTTTTCAGCAATTGCAGCGGATAGATGCTTGACGGTTTTCTCCATCAATGCTGGATCACCGGGTCCATTGGATATGAAAAGTCCGTCGTAGTCCTCGCCTGTAAGAGCTGGAAAATCATAGTCCCAAGGGCAAACCATGACCTCCACGCCGCGGCGTAAGAGGCATCTCAATTGGTTGTATTTTAACCCAACATCTAGACACAAAACGCGTAAAGGCCTACCAGAAGGGTGCTTAAGAGCAGTAGATGGGTCGGGGGTGTATAATTTGGGTTCTCGTATCGATACTATGTTCGATGTCAGCCCTCACTCGCGGGCTGGCTACAAGCAGAAACTCACCGTCTGCTACGAGGTTCTTCGCGTTTGGGTTCAACCAGTCAATGGTCTCGAAGGAAGCCCTCCAGTCTTTCCCGGAGAGAACTTCAGAAATACCATTGACATTCCCACTGGCATACCCGTTGGTCAAGCCCTCTTTCTGGACCATCATTCGTCCAAGCATACTTCCCTCGTCCCGAATCCTCTTAGTCAATTCTCGGGTATCGACACCATATATAGCAGGAACTCCCTGCTCCTTCAGCCATGTTCCCAAAGAAGATGTAGCCAGGAAGTGGGAATAGTCTTCTCCAGCGTAGGACGCGCAGACGAGGCCGGCAATGTGGATTTGGGAGGATTCGAAATGGGCGGGCAGGTCCTTGAGGACGTCGTCCATGGTCTCTCGAGAAGGAACACCATAGTTTCCTACAAGGGGAAATGTGATGACGAGAATTTGTCCTCGGTAAGAGGGATCAGTGATGGATTCAGGATATCCCACCATGCCTGTTTGAAAAACCAATTCTCCGGCGACGCTCTTCTTCGCGCCAAAGCTGTAGCCTTGGTAGACGACGCCATCCTGCAATTCGAGGCTGATCAAGCCATCGTCGCTGCCTTCGAGATGTTTGGCAGCCACTGGGGCGTAGACCTTTTCGGAGATTGTTCCCGGCATGGTGTTGTGGCGTTTTGGGTGGAAAAAAACTCGAGTTCAGGTTTTTCTACTCGACTAGATGGTGATGGCGGGGGGAATGAAATCAACCTTCAACAAGCAAAAGCGCGAGTCTTCGGGCAATTTGGAATGGAAGCACCGATAGCCCGTCTATTGAATACAAATCAATGAAATGTGATGGGGAAGATGAAGATCAAAGTGGTGCCTCTGCTCGAGAACAAGCTCGAGAGAGAGAGGAAGAAAGAAAAAGAGTTCCCCTCTGAGTTTGTAGATGGATGGATAAAAAAAAACTCAGCCCGGATAATCTTTTGGCCCGCCCAACATGGGCCGTTCGTCCAATCAAACATTCTATAAAAAGGGAAAATGATAGCCTTGCATATCAGCCTTGGATCCGCCATAACCTCGGATGAATGCACCCCAAATAGGAAAGCGGGGTATGACGGCTTTCTCCCACCTGGCCTCGGCGCACGCGTTCTTGAAAACAAACAAAACACTAGAAAAATAAGCCACGTAAATTCAATATGACTCGGCAAGCCTGGAGATTTGTGTTAACAGTCTGAAAAGCTTCTAGTTAAATGTCCTTGGCATCTTATTCCTAATAAATCTTCATGCTTAACCTTAATAAGTAAGCGAGAGGTGAAGTTCTAAGGTAAACTCAAAGTAATAAGCTAAAAGATTATAAATTTGTTTCTAAAAACCACCAGTCTAGCGTAGGGATTGAAGATTTAAACCGATAAGGAAAGATGTTCGATCGCGATAATAGTTTCTATTTATAATTAATAATAGTTAGAAGTATATATAGATTTCTAGTCTAATTTTCGCTTTATACTAAGGATTAGCTTAGTAAAAGCTATTATATATAGGAATTAACTTTACTATTTCTCCTAGTTAAATATAAGAAAGTTATATATAAATATTACTAATATAACTAATTTCGTAATAATAGAAATAATTATATACCCTTTAAGTTCGAGGTAAAATTATAAGAAACTTATTCTTTTCTCTAGCTTTCTATTTATTTTTATAATATCTTTCCTATTTCGCTTTACCTTAACCTATATAAATTTTCTACGTAGGTTCTAATAATATATAAATCGTAGATAATAAAAATATTAGTTATTCCTTCTATTAATATTAGTATAAGTAAGCTTAGAAAATATAAAGGTTTAAATATATTAGTATAACTAAACTACTAGTTTATATTTAATTATTAGATAATATACGTTATATTAAATGAAGCTTATTATTAGTTTTCTTTTGTAATACTAGCTAGCTTTAAGTACTTATAATTCGCTTATATATAAAGTAAATAGAAAGTAAAGAATAAGTACTCTTAGTTATATGTCTCTTATAAGAGTAATTTAACTAAACTAGGGTCTAAAACCCTTTTAAATTATAAAACGCTTAGGTAAGCCTTCTAGTAAGGGGAATATAAATAGAATAAATAAGTATATAACTTATAAATAAGTATTTAGCTTATAAAAGGAAGAATATAAAGTTCTAATAAAAAGATATAAACTAATTCAAAGGCTTTATCTAGTGAAATATAAAGTATAAAATAGGGTAATAGCTTTAGCTAAATAAGTAAAGAAGTATAAAAATATACCTTTTTTAAGAATATAAATAAACTTAGTTTAAAAAACGTTTCTAAATTATAAGATGAGTTATAATATTTAGTACTACGTTCGGCTAAATATATATAGTAATAGAGCTAACGTAGTCCACAAGCGAGTTGGATTCTCAAGCGAAATGGATTTTTTTTCTTGGCATTTTATAAATTCTTAAATATCTCACGACACAATTAATTAAATTAATTACAGTATTCAGAATCGGAATCCTCACATATTTCTTCTCCTTTTTGACAAGTTCGTATGTTATGGCCATGTTTCCCACATAGTCCACAGCGCCGGCGAGATACTAGACTCGGGCTCGTACAATTACTATTTTCTACTAAAACCACTTGTTCTTGCGAATCAACATTACTAAGGACCCCTAAATCTTGCGCATCTT